CCATTCTGCTTTTATCAGAGCCTGGGCCATCGTCCAAGACAAAAAAGGACATAAACACACACGTCATGGATAGTTCACAGAAGGAATCTGTCAAGTCTGTTATCAGCATTACATTAAACCGTGGGGTATAGTTGCATAGCAAGCTGGCGTTATCTGTCGCTATAGACGGGGTATTTATTCCTACAAGAGTGCATGTATATGTAATAACATCAAAAGGTCATCGTACTGCTCCAGCCAGACTTCGCTATCCGGCCAGCATTACGATGCGGCATATTTATGCAGAACCAGATGCACGCACGCACGCCCAGGCTACCTCAGGCAAGCAAGCCATCAGGGCGAATTCGACCTGAGAATCAAGGACTGACCCCAGACCTTCGCGTAATGCATTGCTTAACCGTGCATAATATTCCTTTTTTGTTCGTTCAGCTTCGTCTTAGTACGCCTCCACCGCATCGGATGATTTATGTTCATACCGGCTTGTTTCTGAGACTTTTGTGCGTGGCATCGCAGTTGAAAGGCATTCTTATTCATGCCTAGTCTGAGTACACTGCATCTAGGTGTTCGTGGTTTCCCTTGTTTAATCGGGCGCCAATAATGCAGGTTCTTTCCCATCTCCCTTGTTCCCCTGCTAGCTGTTTTTATTTTTTTCAGAGTGGGTGCTGTTTTTATCAGCTCCTGTAGGACTGTCCCGTAAGGCCGATTAAATCAATTTGAGGTGTAAACCAGAGTGCATTTCTTTCAGGGTTCAACCCCTATTTTTTTAATCGGTCGAACGGTCTCCCCTTTTTGTGATTTTATGATTGAACTAAGTCAAACTACTGTCGTAAGAATTGCTTGTACTTTCCGTATACGTATGATTCTTGATTTGGGAGCCTAATACGTGCGTCTTTTGCCTATGCGTTTAGTTCCGGGATCGTTAGCACACGCAGTCAGACCAAGTCAGCCGCCGACAGCGATTCGACTGCCGGTGTCATCTACCTAGTGCCCACGGACTTTATAAATGCCTGGCGTCGTTTTATACGCTCACCATCACTGGCGACCCTGCCCGACGAACTACCATCCGGGTTGGCTGCCGATGACGCACTCTGTGAACACGACCATGTAAGCTGTCCTTCCGCTATTTTAGCATTTTGCCTTGCCTGGGCTCTCCCGCCCTCTTCTTGCTACGCCTTTTATGATCTCGACCCTCTGGTTGTTTCTACTAGGGGAGTTTTTTGTGTGATTTGCAGTCTCACGAAGCGTTTGTGTCATATGCACATCACGCCAGTGTCTCCTATCTTCTTGGTGTAGGAGGACAGTGGATGCAAGGCGACTGAGCAGAACCTTACCTGAGCAGTATTGAGATAAATGTCGGTAGTAAGGGATGTTTCGTTTCACCCCCTCCCCAC